TGCTTCTGAATTCAGCAAAATTTTACTTGCATGTGATAGAAATGATATTGTTCAAAAATTTCCACATTCTGTTGGATGGGGACAAATACCAACTTCTTCCAGTCAGCTGGCCAGGCAGCTGTCTTCCAAATTTCTTGGCATAAAGAAATTTTATTTACGGTGCTGCGAGGATTGGAGGTAGACTAACAATTTGCAATATCCAGATGACATAACCTTGCTTGCTGGAAGTGAAGGTGATTTGAAGGACTTCTTGATGAATATCAAAGACTACATACAGCCTTCGGTATGGATTATACCTCAAGGAAAAGAAAACAAAAATCCTCAAAACTGGACCAATGAGCAAAATCAATAAGCAACTTTTATGGCAGCATGGCATCGATTTGTTGAAATGTCTCACTGGGTATTCTGTCAATTCCTGGAGCCTTTTCACCAATTCCTTCAGTACAGCTTAGACTTCTTCTTTCAACACCATCAGGTCTTAAACATATACTAGCTCCTGATATAAACCAACTGTTTTTGGTCCCATGACTCTGTGTATCCCTTCCATCTTCTTTTGATGCTTCCTGCATTGTTCAATATCTTGCCCACAGAATCCTTCAATACCACAACTCAAGGCTTGAATTTTCTTCTTCAGTTCTTTCAGCTTGAGAGAAGCTAAGTATGTTGTTTTCCTTTGATTTTCCAGTTCTCTGCATGTTTTATTGTAATACTTTCTTCTGTTCTCTCAAGCTGCCCTTTGAAACCTGTTCAACTCTTTTTATCTCATCATTTCTTCCATTTACTTTAGCTACTCTCTATTCAAGATCAAGTTTCAGAGTCTTTTCGGACATCCATTTTGGTCTTCTAATAATTGAGAAGATTTTTAACATGAAGAAAAACTACATATGAGCCCCTGTCTATGACATTCAACTATAGGGGGACCTGCCCACCGTCATTTGGGCTTAAAAGCCGGCAGACCCACTATCCAATAACCACACTGCTAAGGGTTCATCTGAACAGTAGGGAGATGAGAGTGCCCCAAAGAGCTGAGGCATGGAGGTAGTGGCATGGTTCAGGGAACGACAGTCTGCAAGGCGAGCCTTGGCGCTCAGAGTTTGAAACAGGAGCTTCTTAGGATGGCACCGGAACAGACAGCTGATGGGAGGGGCAGGGCTGGCCGGTGCCCCTCCCTCCCTAATGAGCATGGGCTCAGCACTGCACCCACCTTGGTTAACAAGGCAGGCATGGGGTCAGAACACTTTCAGACACCCAGCACATGTTCTCAGGCCCCAGGCACCATGGAAGCAGTCTCTGAGACACATGCTCTGCTGTGTGGGGACAACCAGCAGAGGTTCTGGTAACCTCCACAGCAGCTCACCTTGGACGGACTCAAGGGCCCCGCGAAGGCTCTCAGGGTCAGAACAGGGTCACGGGGGCTGCCCCCAAAATGGCCAGTGTGCGGCACCTCAGCAGTCTGGTCTGAGGACCACAGCTTCCCAATCACTGGAGAAGACGTATCCTCTGCTCGCAGGAGTGGCACGTAGTAGTGACCTGCAGGAGAAAAGACTAGCATGATTGAATGTACTCTCATGTACAGCAGGTGTCTGGGTGAGCAGCCCAAGAAACCACACATTCTACTTTCTTCAGGGCTTTGCAAATGGACTTAAATATAAAGATTAAAAGAAAAAAGCAAAGGAGCCTAAGCTCTGGAGCCAGAAGGCCTGGGGGATCAGCCCGGGGTGTTCTTGCCATGTGTTGGAACCTGCCCAACCTGATAAGCTACCTGTCCTGTCTAGAAAAGGGTGGTGGCATCTTTGCCCTCCCAGGAGGTAAGAGGACAGAGAGGCCAGGGATGAGCACACAGTGAAAGCTTACTAAACACTAGGGACGTGACATTTTCTCTGCCCCTCCATGTCCCTATCCCTTGTATACTACACAACTCTATCACTGATACACATCTCTAGACTTGTCTGCCATCAGGAAGTATGAAGAGCCTCGGGCAAAATGCTCTCAGAATTGCGTGGGGCCTCCTCCTGCCTCCTCACCCATGTCTCCTGACCACTCATCACTTGCCATGATTGCTGATCACCCACTGCCGACCACCCACCACCCACTATGATCGCCAGTCTTCCACCACTGCACGAAAGGGCTTGCCAGGAGGAAGAGATGCTCCTGCTGGTTATGAATGCCAGGTCATTTTTTGTTTTCAAATGCTCTATTTATACTTTCCATTAAAAAGTACGTTTTCATTGTAAAAAACATTGACTGTTACATCCATCAAAGAACCATCCCTAGTGTTTAATATCCCTGAGATCAGGACACAATGTGTTTCTGACAACTTTATGGCCTGAGCCACACCCTACCAAACATGCTCAGGCCTGGGCAGTTGTCCCTGGACCCAGACAACAGGCTTCACGCTCCGGGCACTGTGGCTGGCACTTACCCTGTAAATATTCTCTGATTTGCTCCTTCAATTCTAGAGACTTGTTTTTACTTCTTTCACAAATTACCTATTGAATAAATAAATGAACACTATGAATCTTGTCTCATTTTTCATTTTCTTAGCATTATTTTACAAAAGCAAGTTTTAAACTCCACACAGTGAGGACCAGCCCTAAGTGCTGCAAGTTCTATAAAGCCCACATCAAGACTGAGATTTGACAGTGGGATCTCTTTTCTAAGGTGTTCTGTAAATGACTTGGGAAACAGGGAAGACAGAGCACCCTCTGGCTATGGGTCAGTTCTGTTTTTTTCCTCATGCCACTGTTCATCTTCTAGTTTTCCTCAAGGAGAGCAAGGTTAAGAGCACACTATCGAATCACAGCAGAGACAAGCAGACCTGCTGAGAAGTTTCCCCTTTTATGAGGTTTGCTGCCCAGAAGGCTTTCTCTGTATATAAATTCTGCTGTTTACCTAGCTGGAGAAAAAAACGGTAGGGAACACAAATGTATTTATGCAACTATAGGAACCAACTCTCTCAGCCCTTGGAGAACTACAGTGATAAGAACATTCCTGCTAGAGATAATGGAAAACCAGTAACCTTCAAATAAGAGGGCAGAGGGAAGCACAGTTACCACCAGCCAGCAGAAGAAACAAAGTAAAACTGCACTGTCACCAGTGAGTGCCACTCAGTCAATCTGTAATCTGTGACTGTCAGTGGAAGTCAAAACTGCACTGTGACCAGTGAGTGCCACTCAGTCAGTCTGTAATCTATGACTTTTGGTGGGACTCACGGGCTTTAAAAAATCACGTTTCCAAGCTGTTTACTATCATTTTCCACTGACAATCATACACACACACAGAAAAACCGTCCTAAATACACAGATACACACACATACACACACAGAGAAAAGCTGAACTAGATACACACAAAATAATGGTAATTTCTGAGCTGCAGAATTTCCTGATCCATTTCATTTCTCATTTGTATAAACTAAATCTTCCACAGAAAGTGGGTATTGTTTATATGTTCACAGCCATCACAGAAGCAGGGGTGAGGGCCAGCCAACAGCAACAGCCCCTGGTCCCTGTGCACCCTGTCCCCTCCTGCCCTGCACAGGTACAACACCCCTGTTCCCACAGCCCTCACCGTCAGGCTCACTCTGCTTGACTGCAGCAAAGCGAGAACACTACACACAGAGTGCACGTTGCTGCCACTACTACCACCGTCATGTCCCTTCACCATCACTGCTGTCCTCTCTGGACCCTCACCAGCTGATACAGACTCAGAGAGGCCTGACAAGACTGTGGGCTGCTCAGAACAACCGGTCCAGCAGCCACAGGGAAAATGAAATCAGCACCCAACTTCCTTTATGAAACACTGGTTTGCTCAAATCACACCAACCATTCTATGTTGGAAATGAACTCTAACTTTACAAGGAATGACTAAGCTAAGAAGGAAAAACGGGTGCTTTTTAAGAGACTGAGCTCCATGACCCCACACTACCCACAAGGCAGTTTTGCCCCCTGGCTCTCTGTGGCAGCTTGGAGGCTGCCCCCGAGGCAGAGTGGCTGCCCCACCCAGCTTCCCGTGCTCTCCCTTGTACCACCGCCCGACCGTGCATTTCAATAGGGACTTACATCTTCAGGCATCTTGTCATATTTATTCCTTAAATTTTTTACAGTCAAAGGGTGGGAAGAAAGGACGTTGACTACATCTGCATTCCCAAACTTGCAAGCAAAATGCAAGGGTGTGTCGTAGCCCTGCAAAAAGAGCACAAGGGTGTCTGGGTTTCTTCAGTCATGAGGCCGTTTCATGATGAAACAGGTGTTTGGTAAGAAGAGCCACAGAGACAAATGGAAACCCCCACCAAGGATACCATCGCCCTCTTGTCAGTGCACACACTGTACACCAGGACTCAGCACACGCCTTGAGTGCCGGGTCCTAGTACCACGTGAGTGCTCGTCCCCGAGCTAGGGACGCAGCATGTACTCAGGGCCTGGTGTATGTATATGCCATGCACCTGGAGCTCAGAAAGTGGAGTAATCTATGCCAGGACTCAGCACATGCCTTGAGTTGCCGGGTCCTAGTACCACGTGAGTGCTCCACCCTGAGCTAGGGACGCAGCATATACTCAGGGCCTGGTGTATGTATATGCCATGTACCTGGAGCTCAGAAAGTGGAGTAATCAGATGAAGGCAATATTCAGCTTAAAGCAATGCCCACCAATTTGGCCTATTCTCAAGGAAAACGTGGATTCACGTGCTTCCACTGAAGTGGCAGTCAGTAACCTCAGCTCCAGGGGTGGAACGGGCTCAGGTCCAACCCAGAACGTTACGGAGGGCCCTTTCCCACGGGGACTGGGAAGACTCAGCCTCATCAAATGGCACAGAACCAGGCACAGTGCACAGCAGCCACGTGTCCTGTGCTTGATCCGTGCTACCTCTGCTCCTGAAGGCCCAACACGCCTCACGGAGAGTGGACAGCTGCCCATTTCACGTCCTACCAGCAGCTCTCTATGAAGGCACAGCACTGGCTGGCTGGCTGGCTGACAGGCACTCACACTCCTACTAACAAAACCTCAGTACCCAAATTTGGGAGTGAAGGACTTGCGAAGGCCAGTGCCCCCAACCACTGGCATGTATGGGGGTTTCAAAATCTTCCCAGGGTCAGCCATGAGTACCATGCACTCCATGGAGCATCACACCGGGCTCAAGAGTCACCCAGTGATCTGGCACTTGGCCCTTAAGCAACTATGTGGTGGGGCTCAGTGAGTAGCAAACATTCCCTGAGCAGCAGCAGCCCCCTTGCTCCTTGCTGTGGATATGGAGCCAAGAGAAGAATGACCTCCAACTGGGGGGGGGGCAGTCTGAGGAGAAAAAGATGGGTACACAGCCTGGCAGGCTCTCCAAGAGGTGGACCAGGTCTTCTGCTTCCAGAATTCACCATCCTTCAATCAGAGCCCAGCTCCAGCCTCTCCTCCATCTATAGGGTCCAGCCAAAAGCGGCCAGGGACACTGTGCAAGGGCCCAAAAGGACACACAGCACGCACACCCTGTTGTTCCAGTCTCACTCCATCAGCTCTGAGTCTTTCTCCTGCCCTGCGCATGCCCAGCACAGGGCGTCTCCCCGAGAAGAGACTGGAGGACCCACTCACCATCTTGTCAGGCGTGTTCAGATACAAGTCAACTATGTAGCAGATACGCTTCTGTAACATGTTTTCATCGTCATCTGGGTACATGAGCCGCATGAACTCAGAGTTCTCCAGAGTTTCCAACGTCAGCTGACAGAGAGAAGCTTGGTTTTCCTTGGCAGCCACATGCATCACATTGTACCGACATCCTTCCTGGAAGGAAACCACCTGTTCTGAGCTCATGTCTCCTTTTGTCAGGCCACCGTGACCAAGTCTACTCGACAGCTGCGCTGAAAGGAGGCTCAGTGGTGGGACCGTCCCCCTGACAGCAGGCTCCCTTGCAGTGGTGGGATCATCCCCTGAAAGCAAGCTCACCTGCACAACGGTGGGGTTGTCCCCAGAACCGATTAGATACCGGGGATTACTCCAGACAAGATCCAAAAAGGCATCTGCGTCTCCCTTCTCCACAGCTTTGCGCAGTTTGGCTGTGAGGTCCTGTGTACGAGGATTTTTATAACTGTTCGCTCGCTCTCTGTTCACTGTCTCTGAGTCTGGTGAGCACAAACCATCTGCATGAAGAGACAGCCTCTGAGACACTGAATGTCATGTGCACCTTCCCACCTCCCACTGTGTGCTGGAACCGGAGGCCTGCAATGCAGCTGGGAGGAGTGTGGACTGACAACTACAAATAAGGGCAGGTAACAAGAGGCACCTGCAGAGCAGCGCGGACCCTGCAGTGACGCCAGTGAGAGGGGCCAGCTCTGATGGGAGTCTAGCCCGGTGGCTTTGTGAGCAGTGTCAGGGGGAATCTCTAGATTTTCTCCAGAATTTCCACAGACCACAAAAACCCTTAAGCGAGGCTTCTGCACCACCAGTTCCCAGCTAAGCGCTATGTAAGGCTGTGTGGGTTGGCGGGATTCTTGATGGGCACCACCCCCCGACATCAAGCCAGTTCAGAAAGCCAGACAACTGGACAAAACCTTGCCCGCACACAGGGAAAATTGTGGCTCTGCAGAGAACCAAACGAGCAAGGCCCAGCACAGCAGGGCTCCTGGTTCTGAAGTCAGGGTAAGAATGCAGTAGGATTCCAGATGTGAGGACCTGATTTTGCAGGACTTCTGAGCGCAGAGACCCAGTCAGAGCAGATGGGCTCAGGTGGGAAGAGGGCTGGTCCTAATATCTACAAAGAACTCTGAGCTAAGAGGCAGCCAGAAGACAGTGAGAGACAGGAATGAACAGAGGGGTAGTGGCTGCCCAAAGGCCGTATGCAAGTTCTGCCTCCTCAGCGTCAGGGCATTCAAGAAGCACCCAGCCAAGTCTGGGTCCCAGCTGCCATCTGTCTCCCCTGCCCCAATCCTCTCATCTCAAGGCATCAACCACCCCAAACCAGCCTACACCCCTTCTCCACTGCTGGCCCATAACCTAAGTCTCTCCAGTCTCTCTTTCCTGGCCAACCAGACTTAGTGTAGACAGAGAAATGTAGCCAACGTGCATCAGGAAAGAGAGCGCAGAACATTCTTAGGTAAAACTGAAAGTGATGCCAACACAGAACTTCCTATCATTTACCTTTTAACCCACCATTGCTAGAGGCTGGTGCAGCTTTCACAGGAGAAAGTGGTAAGGGGGCTCTGCTTGAAGGGAAATAATCATATATTCCTCTTGCAAATTTCTCAGCCTCTTCTCTGCTTGGAAAACCTTTGAATCGAGATCCCTTGATCATTTTAACAGCCTGCAAGGCTTCCTTCTTATCCTCATAAACATGAATCCTTTCTGTATGGGAAAAGGAAGAGAGTGAGTGAATTCCTGGCCTGCCAGACCACACTGCGGTGCTAGTGCCTGAAGCATAATGGGGCAGCACTGAGACACATCTTACCCAGTGCCTGCCCTTAGGGGCTGCTCGGTCTACTGCCAGTAAGTACCGAGGAGCTGTAGGCATTTGTCCAAAGATTCGAACATATTCTCAGGATTGCAATACTCTATTTTCACAAAACATGCCAAATATGACTAGCAAAATACATGAACAGGCATCACAAAAGATGCTAAGATGGCAAATAAGCTCAAAAGACATTTTAAAGTATTCACTAATGATTCCACTTAATTCCTCATTCTTATTCTGCCTGTTGGTACTATGTCCAAAGACATTTAACATCTCACATGATGTTGGCAACCCTCTATTTTCACCTCTTTTGTGGTGGTTACAGGGTACTCAGTCTGTAATGGCCTATCACACGCCATCAAAATCTTACGCATTTTTCACACAGGTAGTGAGGTAATGTTCCTCAATTTTCAAAAATAGTAAAATGTAATTCTAAGGAGGTGTTGGCAAGAACGAGTTAATCGTCTGGTATTGGGTCCGAAGTTTATCATCATGGGATTAGATGGGGAGAAGGGAAAGGAGTGGGGCTGTGCAGAGGGACTCGGTGCTGGCAGCTGCCATCAAGTTGGCCTCCAACTCACAGTGACCTTGTGATACCCTGTGACCCACAGGCTTTTCATTGGCTGATTGTCAGAAGCCCACCAGCAGGCCTTTCTTCCTAGTGTGTCTTAGTCTGGAAGCTCCACTGAAACCTGTTAAGCATCCTAACAACACAGAACCCTCCTCTGACAGAGGGGTGGGGGCTGTGTATAAGGTGCAATGGCCAGGAATCAAACACAGGGCTTCCACCAGGAAGGTGAGGCTCTACCATATTCCATTCTATGTGCCCCTGGAGAGGGCTATAGCCCAGATGCCATCAGAAGTCGAATACCTCATGGCAACCCCCTAGAACTACAAAGAAGGACTTGGGTATAATTATAAGGTAGGTTATCAACACAGGTGGTGTGAAAATGCAGTCAAATGTGTGTGAAAATGCTAAATGTTATCCAGAGAAGAAGAAAAAGTAAATACATAATGTCTAAACCATTAGTGCAACAGCAACAAAAAGAAGGAACCAAGCAAACTTGACCAAAGCGTCAAAAGGGAAATGAAAGTAACAACCAGAAAGTACAGCCAGAGAAAATGAGACAGCAGGTCGGGTCCCAACATATCCACAGCCACGTGTGCTATCTAAGTACAGCCAGAGAACAGAAAATGAGATAGCAGGTTGGGTCCCAACGTATCCACAACCATGTGCACTATCTGTGTAAGGACAGCCAGAGAACAGAAAACGAGACAGCAGAATGGATCCCAATGTGTCTGTAGCCCTGTGTACTACCTGTGTAAAGAAATACCAAGAGTGGGCTGCATTACCGTTTCTCGCCAGGATGTCCTCATACACCGGGCACACTCCATAGTACAGAAGAGGTTCTTTGGAGGCGGCCACAGGCCCTCTGTGGGCACCGACCTCCTCCGGGGCCCTGAAGGCTGCTGAGCAGGTCTTGGGCATTATGGCATCCTCCTCAGGAGGATTCAAGCCCACACTGTAACCAAAATCTCTGTCGTCAGATAAATTGGACCCTTCAGTTGCATTCCCAACAGCACATTTTAAAATCCACTGTGCTTCTTGGCTGAGAGCGGTAATGCCTGCCACAGCCTGGTTTGGAGGAGAGGAAGTCAAAGCTCTTCCTTGTTCTAATAAAGCCTGAGCCAACCTTTTTTCAAAAATGAACCTTGTGGTTGATGTAATGGGTCCACATTTCAGTCCAGCTTTGACAATTTCTTCTCGAAGGTCATCTGGATTCAGGAGTTTCAATCGAGCCAAGATGGCATCCATTGTCATTTCACCTAGGTCCAAGAAAAAAAAAATCAATTGGAGCACTAAAACATGTCTTTTCCATACCAAAAGAAAAAAGTGGCAAAAAACTAGCTTCAGGGTTTCATTTTAATCCACTGTCTCTCCACACTCTTTGAAGTCTATGAATTCTTTATAATATTTTTAATAAAACGTTATGTTTCCATGTCTACAATAACATAAACAAAATTAAAACAAGCATTTTCTGGTTTGTCTGGGTAAGACTCTTACAACCTGGTACTATCACATGATGTTGTTGTTGTTCTGTGCTGTCGAGTCAGACCCGACTCATAGCGACCTCTCCTTAGGTTTCCAAGGCAGTATCACTATGGAAGTAGATTGCCCCATCTTCCTTCCAAGGAGTGGCGGGTGGGTTTGAACCGCCAGCCTTCTGGTTAGCAGTCAAGTACCTTAGGCACTATGCTACCAGAGCTCCTTGTCACATGATACTACATTAAATTTTAATCAAGTGAGAGTATTGGAGAAAAACACACATTCATTTGCTGCTTCTTAAAGCGTAATCTAAAAGTCAATTTGACATGATCTATAAAAATTCCAATGCCTGAAATTCAGCGTACTGACACAGCTGTACCTCCTTCAGTACGTGATGGGAAACTGCGCAAGGATTTTAAACATACAAGCCACACAGATAGCTCTGGCACTTGTTTTATGGATGCTAATAACATTTTTCCACCACTACTTCGTCAGTTAGTTGCACTGTGGTGGCTTGTGTGTTGCTATGAGTCTGGAGGCCATGCCACCTGTATTTCAAATATCAACAGGTTCACCCATGGCAGACAGGTCTCAGAGGAGCTTCCAGACTAAGGCAGACTCAGAAGAAGGAAGGGGCCATCCGCTTCTCAACTGGCCAGTGAAAATCTTATGAACAGCAGTGAAACAATGTCTGATACAGAGCCTGAAGATGACCCACTCAGGTTGGAAGGTGCTCACAGTACTGGAGAAGAGCTGCATCCTCAGAGTATAGCTGACCTTAATGATGTGGATGGACTAAAGCTTTCAAGACCAACATTTGCTGATGAGGTATGACTCAAAATGGGAAGAAACAGCTGCAAACATCCATTAATAATTGGAATATGGAATGTACAAAGTATGAATCTAGGAAAATTGGAAATTGTCAAAAATGAAATGGAACATGTAAAGATCGATATCCTAGGCATTACTGACCTGAAATGGACTAGTTTGGGCCATTTTGAATCAGATAACCATATGATCTACTATGCCTGGAATAACATACTGAAGAGGAATGGTATGGCATTCATCGTCACAAAGAATGTTTCAAGATCTATCCTGAAGTACAGTGCTGTCAGCGATAGGATAATATCTATATGCCTTCAAGGTTAATACTAGAGTATTATTCAAATTTATGCACCAACAACCAAAGCCAAAGACAAGACCACTGAAGATTTTTTACCAACTTCTGCAGTCTGAAGTTGACCAAACATGCAATCAAGATGTGTTGATTATCGCTGGTGATTGGAATGCAAAAGTTAGAAACAAAGAAGAATCACCAGTAGTTGGAAAATATGGCCTTGGTGACAGAAATAATGCCAGAGATCCCATTACAGAATTTTCCAAGACCAATGACTTATTCACTGCAAATACCTTTTTTCAACAACACACATGACAGCTATACACATGGGCTACACCAGATGGAGCACACAGGAATCAGATCGACTACATCTGTGGTAAGAGGCAGTGGAGAAGAGCTGAATATCTTCAGCCAAAACAAGGCCAAGAGCTGACTGTGGCCAGAGCACGTTCAAGGTAAAGCTGAAGACAATTAAAAGAGGTCCATGAGAGCCAAAATATGACCTTGATTATACCCCTCCTGAATTTAGAGACCATCTAAAGAATAGATTTGATGCATTGAACACCAGTGACTGAAAACCAGAGGAACTGTGGGATGACATCAAGAACATCATCTATGAAGAAAGCAAAAGGTCATTAAAAAGACAGGAAAGGAAGAAAAGACCAAAATGGATGTCAGAAGAGACTCTGAAACTTGCCCTTCAATGGAGAGTAGCTAAAGCAAGTAAAAGAAATGACAAGATATAAAAGCAGAACAGAAGATTTCAAAGAGCTGCTCAGGCACACAAAGTTAATTAATATAAAGAAACATGCAAAAACCTGGAGTTAGAAAACCACAAGGGAACAACATGCTTGACATTTCTCAAGCTGCAAGAACTAAAGAAAAATTTCAAGCTTCAAGTTATAATATTTAAAGATTCAATGGGCAAAATACTGAACGATGCAGGAAGCATCAAAAGAAGATGGAAGGAATACACAGTCACTGCACCAAAAGGAAGTGGTCGATGTTCATCCATGTCTGAAGGTGGCATATGATCAAGAACCAATAGTACTGAAGGAAGAAACTGAAGCTGCACTGAAGGAACTGGCAAAGAAGAAGGCTCCAGGAACTGATGGAATACCCACTGAGATATTTCAGCAAACAGATACCGTACTGGAGGCACTCACTCAGCTATGCCAAGAGATTTGGAAGACAGCTACCTGGCCAACTGACCGGAAGAGATCCATATTTATACCCATTCCAAGACAGGTGATCTCACAGAATGTAGAAATTATCAAACAATATCATTAATATCACATGCAAGTAAAACCTTGCTGAAGATAATTGAAAAACGGTTACAGCAGTATACTGACAGAGAACTTTCAGAAATGCAAGCTGGATTCAGAAGAGGACGTGGAATGAGGAATATCATTGCTGATGTCAGATGGATCTTGGCTGAAATCAAAGAATACCAGAGAAATGTTTACTTGTGTTTTCTTGACTATGCAAACATACTCAACTGTGTGGGTCATAACAAATTATGGGTAACACTGAGAAGAATGGGAATTCCAGAACACTTGATTGTGCTCATCAGGAACCAACACACAGACCAGGAGGTTGTCGTTCAAACAGAACAAGGGGATACCGCATGGTTTAAAATCAGGGAGTGTGTCAGGGTTGTATCCTTCCACCATATTTTCACTCAATCTGTATGCTGAACAAATAATCCAAGAAGTTGGACTACATGAAAAAGAACGTGGTATCAGGATTGGAGGAAGACTCAGTAACAACCTGAGATATGCAGACAACACAACTTTGCTTGCTGAAAATGAGGATAACTTCAAGCATTTACTGATGAAGATTAAAGACTTCAGTCAGCAGTATGGATTACATCCCAACATAAAGAAAACAAAAATCCTCACAACTGGACCAATAAGCAGCATCACAATAAATGGAGAAAAGACTGAAGTTGTTAAAGATTTCGTACTACTTGGTTCCGCAATCAACACTAGTGGAAACAGCAGTCAAGACATCAGACGATGTACTGCACTTGGCAAATCTGCTGCAAAAGACCTCTTTAAAGTGCTGCAGAGCAAAGATGTCTCCTTGAAGACTAAGGTACACCTAACTCAATCCATGATATTTTCAATCACCTCATATGCATGTGAGAGCTGGACAACGAACAAGGGAGATCAAAGAAAAGTTGATGCTTTTGAGTTGTGGTGTTAGTGAAGAATACTGAAAGTACCATGAACTGCTAAAAGAACAAACAAACTGTCCTGGAAGAAGTGCAGCTGGAATGCTACTTGGAAGCGAGAACAACCAGACTTCGTTTCACTTACTGTGGTCACGTCGTCAGAAGGGCCCATTATCTGGAAAGGGTATCATGCTTGGTAAAGTGGAGGGTCAGCGATAAAGGGCAAGGCCCTCAACAAGATGGAATGACACAATGGCTGCAACAGTGGGCTCAGATATAGCAAGGATTGTGTGGCTGGCACAGGAATGGGTAGTGTTTCATTCTGTTGTACATAGGGTCACTACGAGTCTGAGCTGACTTGACAGCACCAAACGACAATAGCAACCAACAACGTTTTCCACTCTAGGAGGCTTCTCAGGTGCCTTGGGCTACTCTAAGCATTCCACATCAGCTAAGCCACTTACCAGATACAATAACTTCCTGTGGTATGGCCACTGTTACACCACTTTACAGATAAACCCCAAGCACGGAAACGTGGAGGCCAAGTTATAACAGACAAGTTAAAAGGTAGCAAACACGTGGATGTGAACCAGAGCTCTAGCATCAATCAACAGCTTTGGAGAAGTAATCTATGGAGTAGAGATTCAAGTGTGGCCAGCTACACTTGGAAGGAGAAACAAGAAATGACAGGTCACAGACTATTTTAGCAGTCATGGGGATGAAGAGGGTTCCCACTCAAAAAACAGGCAGTATGGATGGACTAATAATTAGATGCCCTGTGAGAATGTGTGAGGGATTGAGATAAACCCTGAATTTCCAGCTGGGACACCTAGGAGACAGTTCTACCTGACAGAGAATGTTAGAAAATAAATGGAGGGGGTTCTTTGTTTCAACTTTAGGCATCGGGTATCAGAAACATCTACTGGTCACAAAGGAGGCACTCTGGTTTCCATAAATGAGGTTTAGAAGACAGTAGTTCAGTGTTCAGTATGGGAAAAACAGATTTGGGAGTCGTGAGCATATAGATGGGGTTATGAAACCAAGACTAAACCAGGCATAACAGAACATACAAAAGGACAGAGAGCCTGAAAAAGAATCTGTGCAGTTATCAAGTACTGAAAGACATGAGAATGGAAAAGAAGAAGTCATGGAGGACAAAACAGGGAGTGGTGACAGATCAAACAAAATGGGTATATGGGCTCATTTTATTAGTCTGCCTAACTCATTTTATGAAGCAAGAATAAGCTTGATACCAAAACCAGGCAAAGACATCACTCAAAAGGAAAACTATAGACCAATATCCCTCATGAATATAGATGCAAAAATCTTCAACAAAATCCTAGCCAACAGACCCCAACAACATATCAAGAAAATCATTCATTATGACCAAGTGGGGTTCATATCAGGCATGCAAGGATGGTTCAACATTAGAAAAACAGTCAACGTCATCCACCACATAAATAAAACAAAGAAGAACCACATGATCATATCAATTGATGCAGAAAAGGCATTTGATAAAATCCAACACCCATTCCTGATCAAAACTCTCAGCAAAATAAGAATAAAAGGGACATTCCCCAACATAATAAAGGGCATCTATGCAAAACCACTCGGAAGGAAGGTTGGGCAATCCTACTTCCGTAGTGATACTGCCTCGGAAACCCAAGGAGGGGTCGCTATGAGTCAGGGATGACTCAACGGCACATAACAACAACAACAAGCAAAACCAACAGCCAACATTATTCTCAATGGAGAAAGACTGAAACCATTCCTCTTGAGAACAGGAACCAGACAAGGATGCCCGCTATCACCACTTCTATTCAACACTGTACTGGAAGTCCTAGCCAGGGCCATAAGGCAAGAAAGGGAAATCAAAGCATCCAAATTGGTAAGGAAGAAGTCAAACTATCCCTATTTGCATATGATATGATCCTATACCTAGAAAACCCAAGAGACTCAGTCAAAAATCTACTGGAACTAATTGAGAGATTTAGCATCGTGGCAGGATATAAGATCAACATCCAAAAGTCAGTTGGATTCCTCTACACCAGCAGAGATTGCTGAAGAAGGAATAAGGAATTCAATACCGTTTACAATAGCTACCAAAAAAATTTAAAATACTTGGGAATAAATCTTACCAGGCACACAAAAGACCTGTACAAAGAAAACTATAAAAAACTACTTCAAGAAACCATAAAAGAACTACATAAATGGAAGAACATCCCATGCTCATGGATAGGAAGATTGAACATTGTGAAAATGTCAATTCCACCCGAAGCAATCTATACATTCAATGCAATCCCAATCCAGATCCCATCAACATTCTTTAGGGATATGGAAAAACCAATCACTAACTTTATATGGAAAGGAAAGAGACTGCAGATAAGCAAAGCACTATTGAAGAAGAAGAACAAAGTAGAAGGTCTCACACTGCCAAATCTCAAAACCTACTATACAGCCACAGTAGTCAGAAATGTCTGGTATTGGTTTAATGCCAGATACATAGACCAATGGAACAGAATTGAGAACCCAGAAATAGATCGATCGACCTACGGTCAGCTGATCTTTGACAAAGGGCCCAAATCCATTAAATGGGGAAGAGAATGTTTGTTTAATAAATGGTGCTAGCAAAACTGGAGGTCCATTTGCAGAAAAAATGAAACAAGATTTGTACCTCACACCATACACAAAATCGAACTCCAGATGGATCAAAGACTTAAATGTGAAACCCAAAACTATAGAGTTCCCCAAGGAAAAACTAGGGGCAAATTTAGGGGCCCTAATATATGGCATAAATAGACTATCAAGAATAACTCAAAATGCACAAACAGCAGAAGAGAAACCAGATGTTTGTGAAATTTTATTTTTTTATAATGGGAAAAGGGAGTCTTGGTGGTAGAATGGTTAAGCACTCAGCTGCTAACCAAAAGGTAAGAGGTTCAAACCTACCAGCTGCTCTGCAGGGGAAAGATGAGGCAGTATGCTTCTATAAAGATTTAGCCTTGGAAACCCTATGGGGCAGTTTCACTCTGTTTCACAGGGTCTCTACAAACTGGGATCGATTCCACCACAAAGGATTTGTATTTTGTTTACAGCGGGAAAAGAGAAAGTGCAAACATGTCAAAGAATCACAAAAAAGTCCAGTAAAATAAAAGTCTAAGTATAAGAATACTGTTAAGATGGCAACTCTCCCCAAATTGATCTATGTATTCAACACAATCCCAACCAAAATGCCAACAGGCTTTGTTTTAGGTAGGAAAAACCTAGAAAAGCCAAAACAAGTTCAAAACAGAACAAAGTTGGAGAACTCATCATCCCACCCATTCAGAACTTACTATAAAGGTACTATAATCAAGACAGTGTGATACTGGCTCCAAGACACACGGACAAATCAAGAGTAAAGAACTGAGTGCACCAAAAGACCCACACAAATATGGACAACTGGGTTTCACCAAAGGTGCAGAGCCAATCTGGTGGAGAAAGGACAATATTTTCAACCAATGGTGCTGAAATAACTGGAATAACCATATGTGAAAAAACTTAAAGAAAATTCTGATCCATATTGTACCACATACAAAAAAAATGAACTTGGAATGGATCACAGACCTAAATGGAAAGGCAGCAACTACAAAACTTCTATAAGAAACCTGGAGAAACCCTGTGACCTTGAATTAGGCAAATACTTCATACATACGACATCAAAACCACTATTCTCTAACACTGATGATTTGACTTTGTGATAGTTGGACCTGTGTGTCAAGTTGGCTGGACCACAATTCTGTGCGGTTTAAGCTGTTGTGATGTGGTTATTCCCATGATGAGATCAGATGATGATGTTTTGAGCAGCCAATCTGTTGAAAGGGAGTTTTCCTAAGGGTGTGGCCTGCTTCCAGTATATCTATGGACATCGTGGGAAAAGAGACATTCTTCTGTGGATCGGGATTCTGTTGTGCTGCCTACAACTGTTCGTGAGTGAACAATCCACCATTCGGCCTGGAGATCTTGGATTCGTCATTCGTTGGAGTCAACAGCCGGTGTAGTACTTGCCAGCCTGGAGTTCCTCAGCCCCTGCAGCTGCAAGAGTTGGGAAAAGCCTCCAGCTTGACAGTTGATCCAGGAACTTTGGACTTGGCAGCTTCTGTAAGTGTGTGACTTGGCAGCTTCTGTAAGTGTGTGAGCCATTTTCCTAAGATAAATTTCTCTATATACACATATATATAAGCTTTACTGGTTTTGTTTCTCTAGAGAACCCAGTCTAACACAGGCTTCATCAGAATCACAAAGTCTACTCTTCCATCAACACTGTTAAGAGAATGAAAAGACAAGCTGCAGACCGGAAAAAAAGACCTGTAAATGACACATCTGATCAACGATGTGGGTTCAGAACATAGAAAGAACTCTCACAACTCAAAAATGAGAAAACAAACAACTCCCCCCAAAAAATGGGCTAAAGAACTGAACCAGATGATTTTACCAGAGGACAAAATACGGGTGCAAATAAGCACACAGAAAGTACCATTCCAGTGTATCCAAGATCATATATAGGGTTGGCAAACAATGGGCCTATAAGTTCATGTGAATGATCAGAATTCCCAGGTGTATAGTAGAGCTGGTAAGGGGCAAGGTTATGGTCATTGCTTGGTCACA